TATCTGCAGTTGAAAAACTCAGCATTTCTTATCAGTTAAAGAAGTTCAAAGGATTCTCATAATGAATCATACTCCAGGGGAGGGGCAAGGTGATCGAGAAGAGATGTTAAAGAAATGTGTAACCTTGATACGGTAATTTCAAGGAGAGGTTGTTGACGCTTCTAATGGCAGAGTATAAGCTTTTAATGTTCAAAACTTTACGGTCAGGTTTGGGTGGATGGAGTGGTCATTCCGTCGTCAAAGTATAAAAACATTACACACAAGAAATAGTTATTCCTTATAACCAAGACTTAATGAGATGTGTAATTAGCTATTACCATTTATCTTATTTTTACCGGTTTGACCAAGTAATTAAAAGATACAACTAACCAAAAAAATGTCATACCTCTAAAGATGATAAGAGTGGCTAGAGTTAAGATCTCTAATTTGTGACTTCTAATGGTTTCAGCTACAGCATCAGTTTGACACAAAGCAAAAGCAGGCAACCTGGAGAAGAACAATTATTAAAATCTAGATGCCATTGATAACATGACTGCTGTTTAGACCAGTGATTGAAATTATACCCAAACCAGAATGACAAAAGAAAATGTTACATTCACTTACCTTTCATTTTTCCGCTTAGCATGCAGCTCTGCCCTGAGTGACCTGAGACTTCTCACAGTTGACTCTACACGATCCATATCCTGTTTAACCCTGTCATCTGACCAACTCTGTTCCAAGAAGAAGAACACTCAAATGTCTTGTCATCAATATTCATTGTCAGGATAACCAACCTAAACTTAACCAGCCAAAAGAGATCTTTGGTGCTATGTATACTACTGATAAAAATTCATTAAAATTCTAAAAGCTTGAAGTTAGATACAAAAATTATAAGAAAACACAAACATATTTGATTAGCTGCGATGTTGTAAAAGTAGAGGTTAAGAGCCAAATGAAACTTAGGCATAGCTACTTAAATTAAAATTACCTCTACAGGTGATGGATACTCGCATATCATTATGGACTCTTTTCTTGCAAGGTCCCTTGCGCCAGGTAGGCGCTGCCACAATTCTTCAGTAAGAAATGGCATAAAAGGATGAAGCAAGCGTGGACCAGTTTCAAGACACAGCCAAAGAGCATCTTTTGCATATCTCCTTTCAGAGGAAAAATGCCAGAGAATCTCCAGCAAAGTAGGGCTTGATTGCTTCAATGAAAACATCACAAAACTGATATTGCCACCATGAATTCACAGTGCTGGCTGCATCTGAAAACTCGTATGAATTCAAGGACTCCACTGTTTTTTTTTTTTTTTATAACTTTATTCAGCACTGAAAGAATCCAATTGCAACCGAAAGGCATTGTCTCTGGGTTTATGGTTGATGGAGGTCCGTAATCATCTCCAAGTTTGGTCAATCCAAATCGTACAGCATTCCAAAGCTTGTTACACCACAGTGGATAACCAACAACTTGTTGAAAATCCAAATTGATTTTATTTGACTGAAAGGACAAAACAATGTTACAGTGTCACTTAACAAGAACTAAAGGGGGTGGAAAAGGTCCAGGAAGAAGACATAATATATATGTAAAAGGAAATATGAACCTGAGCTGATAGGAGAGAAGTGAAAACCTAAGTGCATCAGCATCCCATTCAGCAATACCATTAGGAAAATCTTTCACTTGTCCTGCTTTTGCAACAGCCACCTCATTTGGATCCAAGTTGCTCTCCTCTAGCCTCTTGCGAAGACCTTCAAGGGATATGCCATTTATTACTTCAAGAGGATCAATTACATTTCCCAGAGACTTTGACATCTGACGGCCATGCGCATCGCGTATCATAGGGTGCAAATAAACCTGCATAGCATAAAATTCATTGACAGATAAGAAATCTATAGAAAACCTTGCAAGTAAACAACCAACAATGACAAGGTTTGCATAGTGTAGGAAAAATATTCCCACCTTTGTAAAGGGCACATCACCTCCCAGTTTAATTCCTAACATAACCATTCTAGCCACCTAGAAGAAGAGAATGTCATTGCCAGTTTTCAAGGACTGATGTTGGGTGCAAGGTCTTTAAATCGTTGGTATCATCAGGCCATCCCAGGATAGATAAAGGTAAAGGAAAAAGGCCAGAAGAAAACCAGGTGTCTAGTACATCTGGATCTTGAAAAATCTCAAATTTTTTTCCCAGAAAATCTTTGGTTTGCT